TCCAACCTAAACCATTATATGATTCCATGATTCCCTCAGGCAGCATGTGGCTCCAGCTGGCCAAATAACCATAGCCTGAGACCTTGCAGGAGACCGGGCCGGCTGCGTGACTCCACTGATGAGAGCAGCAGGCCCAGGAGCAGGTTAATTCAGAGACGTGCTTTGCCTCTGCCCTGCTGGCTACAAAACATTGGTGACCAACACTGTGCTCTCCTCGCACTGGGGAATGCTGAGTCCAGGACATGTCAGTGCCACTGTCTGCCATGAAGCATCTGTCCACTTTGTGGCTGGATGAAGTTTGGTTTTCCCTGAGTAAAAAGCATCAGGGGTGAGTCTAAGCTCATTTCTGAATGCCCCTGTGCAGACAAGAAGAGGACAGAACAAAACTGGGCTTAGAAGAGGCTCAGTGCTGACTATAACCAAGTGACATTCAAGTGGTAACATGGCGCTGCACAAAAGGGGCCAAACCTCAGTGACAGAGCCACCATCTCAGCCTACTCCCCTTCCACCCCTGCAAAACGGGGCCAACTCACTCCTGAGCTGCGATGACCAAAATAACACGTCTTTTGGAAACAGTTCTGTGGAAGTGACTTAGGAGGTAACTCACCAGATGCCATGTGCAGTGTGGCTTTCCACACGCCACCCAGGATTTCAGTGGCACAAATGCAAGTGTTTGTTATCAGGCGTGGCCAAGACGACACTTGGGATTTGCTTCTCTACTCCATGGCCCAGATCAACTCCTCACACGAAGCACCATTTAGCTGGGCACCCCAGGGAAGAACAGGGTGCCCTGCGTGACAGAGCCTGCCTGCATTCCTCACGCCCCGGGTCTGAGGGCAGGGATCTAATTAGAGCCTTTCAAGGATGGCAAAGACCAACCCAGCCAGCTCGCAATGAGGTATTGCTGCAATCAGCCAGGGTTGGAGCGAAGACAGCGTGGTGGCTGGCAGTGATGTCAGGAGGCTTTAGCACAGGTTTCACAAGCTCAGCGATGCTGCTGAGATGCTTCTTGTTTCTAATGAAATCTGTGCCAGAAGACCAGATTTTCACCGAGATAAGGGTGGCTCTTCTCCTGGTCAACAGGGAGAGACAGGCCGCTCCTGCGCCGAATCACATGCTCGTGCGAGCGAGGCAGCAGCCTGAGATGAGCCGTCCTTGGCCAACCTCAGTGACAGTGTGTCTCACCACACAGCCACGAAGGAGCTGATGAACCATGAACAGCAGCAAAGGGCACTGCTTCCTGGAGCATTTACCTTCCCTGTGTTCAGCCTCTCCCAGAACCATGTAGCGAGATCCCAGCTGGGCTTGGAACGGCTCCACAAACTTGGTGTCGATGCAGACCCGATACTGAGCTGAGCTGTGCTGAGCGGTGAGAACAGCTTCGGACCGGGCCAGGTCGTAACGGCATAACCTGGGAGTGATCGATTTGGGAAGCTTAGCGGTGCAGAGGTACAACAATTACAAAGGGGTCAGCCAGTGAAGGGAAGGTCTGGCCTGCAAGGAGACCGGGGTACCCTTCTCACCTGCCAAATGTCCTCAGCGCCTCCCCCTCTGGGACTGAGCTGTTGATCTCCCATGGGAAGTAATAGACACCAGCGCTGGGCAGCATCTCCCACAACCACCACTGGGCCTGCAGTAAAGCAAGAGATCCGAGTTCATGCCACCCCCAGTACCTGACCCAGATACTGCCCCAAAACTCCTTCCTTGCCCAGGGCCCTCCATGCTGCCAGCTGCAGCAACTCCATCACTGCCCTGCTGAGTCCTGTTCGCAGCTCAGTGCATGTGCCAAGCCCTGGGCATCCTGGCATAAAGAAGGGCCACCTTCCCCCACCGCAATCCAGCATGAACCGTAACAGGCAGCCCACTAGATCCTTCAGGTCTCCCCCAAGCTATGGATGGGTTGAGAAATGTTAAGGAAGCAGGGGAAATGCGTGATTGAGAAGTTCGGAGAGTGTGAGGGACTGAGATGCAGGAATACACCCAGCTGCTGGGGTGACGGGGTACCATCCAGCAAGATTTAAGGTATGATCCTGAGTCTGTTCTCATGCTGCAGGATAAGAAATTCCGGCAGTGGCTGATCTTATAGCTGGAGAACAATTTCTTGGATACAAGCCAGCCTGGTTTCATCAGTAATCGAGTAGGGTTTATCAGACAGTGATGAGTGAGAACGAGTCACCCCAAGGCAAGACTCAGGTGGGACCTTCTGGGAGCACCAGCGGTGGAGCCGGGCTGGCACAGGCAGGGCAGGCC